AACTAGAGTTCTAATGCTACTCTTCCTTGGTAGAAGAGTTCTAGTTATCTTCAACTTCTAGCTGCTCCCTTATCTTGGATAAAGTTCTCTTCGGGTAAGGAGTCATTCTCCTTATTATTTATGCAAGATTTTCGATCAGGAGATATCAGATATAACAACTTAAGCTTATCTCCTTCACGTACATCTCTTATGCTCGAATCTGCCCGTATCTGTGTACACTGTGTATGGACCTAATTCATGCTGAAGTTTCTTTGTCAATCATCAAAACAAACTTCACTTGGACCAACACCAGTAATTAGGTACCTTATTCCAGTTGTTTGGAATCTGTCAAATATACCGTACCATTTTCATCTAGGACTTTATGCTATGACTGTACATGTACAGAAGAATATGATTCTTCTTTAATTTGTGCCAATATCTTCAGTTTTACCTGGATCACAAGCATAATGGCCTTTGAGCTAATTGAATTGACAGACTGCCTTTGCCTAATGATTCTAATCCTCTAATTTAGAAAGGTTTCCCTAACTAAATGATCAATGTTGATTCAAAAGACAGAAGGAAATCAAAGTACCTACATCAGACATAATCTTTAAAATGGTTTATAAGAGCAAATACAAGTTTCCTGCATGCGTTAAGCTACAGAAACCAATGTTATATAAAATTTGCATTAATATGATTTTAGACATATAATTTTTTCTGCACTAGTGGTTTGACCAGAGGACAGTGTATAGTTTATTCACCGGATAGCAATGCCAATATTATCAATCACCATATAACAATCCCTTCGTTATTATTCACTGCTGATACTGCATAAACAATTCCTGACATAATAATCCATGCATAACTAGCACGTGAATTACCAAACGACTCTTTACTTTCTAGAACAATATCCTTTTTAATGAACACTGCACAAATGTAACAATAACAACAAACCTAGTGTAATCTCACAAGTGGGGTTTAGAGAAAGTAGTACGTATGCAGACGTTACCCCTATCTTAAGAAGGTAGAGAAGTTATTTCCGATAGACCCTCAACTCAAGGAAAGATGAAAAAAGAAGCAGTAGCAACGGACAGTAATAATAGCAAGATAGCAAGAAAATCGAAGCGAAAAGAAGAACACTGCACAAATCTGCAGGCGTTTTATTTATTACTAATTCAACACTTAAACTATTTCAGGCAACTTATATATTCATCAAAAAAACTAATATTATCAAGCAATTTACTACTTGTACTTCACCAATGTTTATTTTCCACTCTCATGCCCCCAAAAAGAAACCTAACTTTTAATTCTACCATATAGGGCTAAGGTCCAATTAGAACCTTCCTTATAAAGTTCCAGTCATTCTAAAAATGGGAACACCTTGTGTCTCTGTGTAGTTGACAGTTGAGTTATTTGGATTCTGAGGCCTCTCAAGATTGTCAAAGAAGAAATAGAATGTTCCATTATAGACAAGTTGTTTGGGGATCTTTTCCTACTGGAGTAGTGGAGGGCTCTCATTCTCAATTTCAAAGGTAATATTCCGCAAAAGTTGCAATAGGAATCTACGTTGATATATGACAATAATATTCTGGTTATTTGAAAACGATATGGAATAAAGCCCCACTATAAAATACGTCTTGTTTTGCTCACAAATCCCTCTTCCCTATGATTGGTAATCATGGAGGATATTTTTTTTATGTGTAGAGTAAAGGGAAATGCATTTTCGTTGAAAAGATATCTAGTGGCTGAATCATATGGGAAAGAGGAATAGCAGCTTCTTTTCTCTCTTTTTTCATTTTTTTGGGTGATGTAAAGGTTTCAAACGATAAGGAGATAGATGCATTAGGCCCTGTGAACATATTGCTGAATTGTGTAAGATGACTCATGTAAGTAAACCTGTTAGCAACATATATAATCTATATTAGGCCTGCGACACATCCCGCCAAATAAGACTCGAACCAAGAATCTCTGCTTGTTCTAATATCATGTTGGTTTGTGTGAATCACCTAATTAAACGGTTAGAGATTGGATAATTTGTTTATTTAAAGTTTGCACACACATTTGACGTATATGCTTCCACCAGATTGGGCATCAATTAAAAATTATCATCTCATCTCATATAATTTCTTGGATAATTTCTTCACTAGCTATTCATTAACTACACTTCCTTCCAAAGTTACTCTTATTTTTCCGTATTAGTTTTTTCAGTCTCATGTTTAAAAGGGGAAATTAAACCAGACTTTTAATTCTGCCATATAGGGAAAAGGTCATGTTAATTAGGACCAGTTTTGTGAAGTATCTATCATTCTGAAAACGAAATACTTTCATTGTCTCTGTGGTTGAGTGTTTGCTTTCTGAAAGCTTCTCAGAATTATCAAAAAGGCGTAGATTATCCCCTTTTAGACAACTTGCTTCGAGATTCTTTAATACTGGAGTGGAGGGTCCTTATTCTCAAATTTATAGTGGCTAATATTCTGGAAAACTTGCGGCAGGAATCTATGTAGATATACAGCAAAAACAGTCTGAACATAGGAAATTCAGGTTCCGCCCACACTTTTCTCCCTAAAACCCATGTTCTTTGGCTAACTAGTCCTCTTTCCAACGATTGCTAATCATTGAGAATCTCTTTTACTAACGGTAGTGTCCGCACCAACTTGCGCACAACATCTACTACCTCCCAGTAGTACATGTATTGGATAACCCTGCCTCAAAGATTATGGAACTGTGAAGTCAAAGTTTGTCATGTTGCCAAAAGTATTTATGAACAGAAAAAGTCAAGGTTCTTTTTTCTCTTGAAATTCCTTGCTAGACTCAGGTGTAAAATACCAATGTTTCTACCATACACAACCTAAATTCAGGAGGACAGTCTGCCTCATTCTTTTGTCCTCCGCTTAGTCTAATTCGAGATATTTTTCTTTGTCAAAATGATTTATGTTTTGAAGCCTTTCAACTGGAGCTTTTTTTCAATCGTCTGCTCGGATATCAGGTGGGAATTATCTTTCCTAGACAACTTTGGTGACTTCTCAGAAGTGAAAATAGGTAAACCTTTTAAACTTGTCGAGAGTGGGTTGCTCTAGTGGTGAGCACCCTCCACTTCCAACCAAGAGGTTGTGAGTTCGAGTCACCCCAAGAGCAAGGTGGAGAGTTCTTAGAAGGCGGGAGGAGCCGAGGGTCTATCGGAAACACTACACTCCTCAGACCCCACTAGTGGGATTATACTGGGTTGTTGTTGTTGTTGTTTTAAACTTGTCCAGTCATGTTCCAGTAAAAGCTCAAGTACGCAAAAGATGGATGGAATCTGTGTCTTTTGGATAAAGGGAAAAGTTTTTGTTCAAAACATCTTTAGTGGCAAGGACGGCTCCATATTGAACGCAAAGGAAATGCACCAACTATCTTCATCTCAAGTTATGTACGTAATATTTGACATTTTTGTTTTATGACAAGAATCAGGATCCTTGATGTTTACAGTGCAAAGTGAGGTCACAAATGATATATAGCTACTGATAACGCTTTGTTCAAGTGATATATTTGAAGCTTAAAATATTGGAAATTGTTGCTTACGTCGAATTGATAAAACATGTATTAGCCTTCACTTGTTGGTTATTTTCTAACAAATCATTTCAAAGCTAGTATGGTCTTTGCCTGATCGAATGCACACTACTTCTGATTTGACGAATTCTTCATAAAACAATTGTGTGAATCACCACAGCTAATGCTGCCTGCAACACAAGAACTGTTATTGGATAATTTCTTCATTATCTATTCATTAACTACACTTCCTTCCAAAGTTACCTGATTTTTCCGTATTACTTTTTTCACTCTCATGTTTAAAAGGGGAAACCAGACTTTTAATTCTGCTATAGAGGGAAAAGGTCCTGTTAATTAGGACCAGTTTTGTGAAGTATCTATCATTCTGAAAATGAAATACTTTCATTGTCTCTTTGGTTGAGTGTTTGCTTTCTGAAAGCCACTCAGAATTATCAAAAAGGGTAGATTATCCCCTTCAGACAACTTGCTTCGAGATATTCTTTAATATTGGAGTGGAGGGCCCTTATTCTCAAATTTATAGGTAATATTCTGGAAACTTGCAGCAGGAATCTATGTAGATATACAGCAAAAACGGTCTGATACGTAAGAACATAGGAAATTCAGGTTCCAGCCCTATATTTCTCCCTAAAACCCATGTTCTTTGGCTCACTAGTCCTTTTTCCAATGATTGGTAATCATTGAGAATCTCTTTTACTAACGGGACCAGCTTGTGCAAACCTCGATTATTTCATGGAGACCCACGCGAAGCCAGAAAATTCAATACGGGTGTTCAAAGTCTATTTTTTAATCAATAACAAGTAATATTTTATATTTTTCGACAAAGGGTATTCAGTTGACCACCCTTAGCCATACATAGCTTCGTCCCTGCCTCCCAGTAGTACATGTATTGGATAACCCCTGCGGCAAAGATTATAGAACTGTGAAGTCAAAGGTTGTCATGTTGCCAAAAGTATTTATGAACAGAAAAAGTTAAGGTCCTTTTTTCTCTTGAAATTCCTTGCTAAACTTCAACCATACACAACCTAAATTCAGGAGGACAGTCTGCATAATTTTTTTTGTCCTCCATTTAGTCAAATTTGAGATTTTTCTTTTCAAAAGGATTTATGTTTTGAAGCCTTTCAATTAGAGCTTTTTTCAATCATCTGTTCGAATATCAGGCAAGAATTTATCTTGCCTAGACAACTTTTGACTTCTCAAAAGTCAAAAGAGGTAAACCTTTTAAAACTTGCCCTGTCATGTTCCAGTGAAAGCGCAAGTACACAAAAGATGGATCGAATCTGTCTTTGAATAAAGGGGAAAATACTTGTTCAAAAGATCTTTAATGGAAAGGACGGCTCCATGTTGAACGCAAAGGAAATGCACCATCTTCATCTCGAGTTATGTACATAATATTTGACATTTTTAAAAAAAGTATAGTAGTATATATTAATACTAAGTCTGGGTCCATATCACGAAAAGCTGTGGAACAGTGATTTAAAATCCTGAATTACGCTTGTCTAACATGGGCAACCCCCACACAAGTGTGAGGCACAAAGTAAAATCTTGGCACCAGTTCACGCATGGTAACAACTGATGAAATTCCCATATGTAGTACAATTATGACGAAGATCAGAGACACTCTAAATGTTTCGGCAAAAGGAGTAAAACATAATTGCATAACAAAAAAGTCCAACCAGAAAATATGGTCCACTCCCAAAGGAAACCTCAATATTCTAACAAGAAACTTTTGCATATGGAAGGAATAACATCCAAAGGAGAACATAACGTCATCATATATCCATTGGTGCAGCACCTTCATCAGTAGGGGCGCCTGCTTCAGGTACTGCTGATTCGGCGTCAGCAGCTGCATCTGTGCTTGCAGCAGGAGCTTCTTCACCAGCTAACTCAAATTCAGTGATCAATCCTTGGATAGTATCTTTATCCAACATATGGAAAGGCTCTCCTATTCCTACCACAGCAACCGTACAGTTCGTGCTTGTCAGCTTTTCTCCTTGCAGTGTCTCCCTCAATGCAAAAAGTGCATCCTTAAGCAGACTTCCTCGTGAAGAATCCGTGAAATTCTCAAACCTACGCTCCAAGTATGTTTTTGCAGCTTGCGAACGAGATCCAATGGCAAAAGCTTGATATTCAAAGTAGTTACCACTAGGGCAATTGTAATAGAGGTGAGCGCCAGATTCATCCAGCCCACCTACAAGCAGGCCAACACCATAAGGTCGTTTCCAGGATCGCTGGGTACAAACCTGCCACCAAAAAGATGTCAAGAGATTGTAGACAGAAAAGAAGCATCAGCCTTTTGAAATCAGACAGTTAAGTAGGCAACATATGCATGTCAATTTATAATCTAACAAAGAGAAGACAAATTATTGGTACTAGATGTCCTAACTCTAATTTCAAAACGAGTTCAATTCCGTAAAGGTGTTCACTTAACACAAATATCAGAAAATTCTTATAATACAAAGGACAATTTGCTGTTATTGAGGAGGCAACGGATGAAATTTCCTTTAACTGCTGTTTTGGCATCGAATGCACTACAGCAGCTCTTTTATTCCCCCTTCTTGTTTAAATTTGTTTTTTTGTGGGGAGGAGGATAAGAACTTAATAGCTCCTCTAGGGTGCTATGCTGATTGATACAACAACAACATACCCAGTATTATCCCACACCGTGGGGTCTGGGGAGGGTAGTGTGTACGCAGACCTTACCCCTACCTTGTGAGGATAGAGAGGTTATTTCCAATAGACCCTCGGCTCAGGCAAACAGAAGCACCACATTAATGAAAATATAGACAAGAACGGACAGTACCAAAAAGCCATATAAAAGCAAAAAAAAAAACAAAAAGATAGTAAGGTGATCAACAATGAAGGAAACAATGGTTAGTCATAAAAACCTACTACCAACAGAAAGCGAGACTGCGTGCCAATACTGCTGTTATGAACACTATAGACTACCTACTCTACTATCCTAATCCTCGACCTCCATACCTTCCTATCAAGGGTCATGTCCTCGGTCAGCTGAAGTTGCGCCATGTCTTGCCTAATCACCTCTCCCCACCTCTTCTTTAGCCTACCTCTACCTCTCCGTAAGCCCTCCAATGTTAACCTCTCACACCTCCTCATCGGGGCGTATGTGCTCCTCCTTCTCACATGACCAAACCACCTAAGTCGCGCTTCCCGCATCTTGTCCTCAATAGAGGCCACACCCACCTTGTCGCGAATAACCTCATTTCTGATCCTATCTAATCTGGTATGCCCGCACATCCATCTCAACATCCTCATCCCTGCTACCTTCATCTTCTGGACAAGAGCGATCTTGACTGGCCAACATTCAGCCTCATACAACATCGTTGGTCTGACCACTTTGTAGAGAACTTACCCATAAGTTTCGGTGGCACCTTCTTGTCACAGAAAACACCGGAAACGAGTCTCCATTTCACCCATCCCATCCCAATATGATGTGTGACATCTTCGTCAATCTCCCCATCCCCCTGAATAATAGGCCCAAGGTACTTAAAACTTCCTTTCCTAGGGATGAGTCCAGCCTCACCTCCCCTTCCCCTCTTTGAGTCTCACCATTGAACTTATACTCCAAGTATTCTGTCTTGGTCCTGCTCAACTTGAAACCTTTAGATTCCAAAATCTGTCTCAATACCTCTAATTGCGCGTTGACACCGTCTCGCATCTCATCAATCAATACAATATCATCTGCAAATAGCATGCACCACGACACCTCCCCTTAGATGTGGCGCGTCAGTACGTCCATCGTCAAAGCAAACAAAAAAGAGCTGAGTGCCGACCCCTGATGCAACCCCATCATAACTGGGAAATGGTCCGAGTCCCCACCCACTGTCCTCACTCGGGTCTTTACTCCATCATACATGTCCTTAATCAACCTAATGTAGGCAACAGGTACACCTCTAGCCTGCAAACATCTCCACAAAACCTCCCTCGAAACTTTATCGTACGCCTTTTCTAAGTCGATGAACACCATATGCAAGTCCTTTTTCTCCCTATACTGCTCTATCAATCTCCTAACAAGGTGGATGGCTTCTGTTGTCGAACGTCCCAGCATAAACCCAAACTGATTCTCGGAAATAGACACACTCCTCCTCACCCTTAGCTCTACCACTATCTCCCAAACTTTCATAGCAAAGTGACGTCAATTGTATGGAATATTGGAATGTGATGCTGAACATTTTATAATAGGCTTTTGGGTTTAGAAGCAAAGGAGTAAAAAAGGAACAACACCAGGGGATGGAATGTTATCCCCAGTTGTAGACTAGATGGAGGGAGAGGAACTCAGGAACTTTGGGCAAAGAAAAACCATTATCCAAATTGTAAATGACTCGTTATTGAAATGCAAATAACTGTTGTGCTTTTCGTTTATTCTAGTTGCACTCAAGGTGCATAATTGTATGGCACTGTATGGCATTTGTAAAGAATTGTATATCTCCTTGTATATGGGAACAACCCCCCCCCCCC